GCTTATCCCCGCCGGCGGCGAGGCGTTCTGCGCAGCCCTTGCCTCAAATTCGTTGGAGATTGACCGTTTCTGCCTGGTTTCGTGTAACTCGACTCCGGGCTCCGTTTGCCCCCCACCACGCAGCTCTCCGTGGAAACCCATCGCTTCCCACCCCAGCCCTCGTCAGCAGAGAAGCGATGAAATAAGGAGTCGAGCGAAAGCTTTAAATGCACGTCTAGCATCAGCGTACAATGCGGAAGCAACAGGTAAACGCCTCCCTCCGAACGCTTCATTTCTTGTAACGACCTCTGCTGCTTTACCTACTGTTGGCAGTGTCAAAGGTGACTGCTGCGCCTCAGGGGAAAGCAGGGCAGCCTCACGGGGAGAGGAAAGCCGGCTGTGTCGTGAAGGGTGAGCTTCGAAGTTGCAAGAATTCTTTCGGAAAGTTAGTTGTATAAAATGAAAAGCAAAACAAACAAACAAAAATCACATGTTAGGGCTCCAAATAAAAAACGCATTTAGACTCCATGGAAGCCAAATGCGGCTGGGGTTTGCTCTGCGCTGTGCGCAATAGCTGCTTCAGACCTATGCTGCATGGGTATGTATTCTAAACCACCTCCAAACAGCATTTTTGATTAGCTGTTTGGCTTTATAGGAAAAAAGTTACCATACAGTGGTCCTTTTTTTTTTTTTTATTTGGCGTCTGAGCCAACTTATATGAAGCAAAATCAGAGGGACTTAGATTTACATCTAACAGTTTAAGAAGAGGCGAGTTTTCCAGAGGCTGCAAACTACTATTTGCCTGATAATTAGGTTACCTTAAAAATGCATTTAAAGTGGAGCTTTGTTTCCCAAGCAAATAACAACGTAGGTACTAATTTACAGTGGAATTAGTTAATAGGCCCAATACTGCAGCCTCTCTGCAGCCAAAACTCTCATTTACAACTGCTTAGGAAATGCTGTAAGATGTGGTTTGTAAGCTCCTGTGCAAATACTAGATACAAATTCTGATTGTATTTTTTTTAAAAAAAATCAGAATATCTATATATACCAGATGAAAAATACAGAGCGAAAATCTTTACTTACGGTGCATACAGTTACATCCCAAAAGATATAAATGGACGGCCAGCTTTTTTTTAATGAAAAAGAGATGTGGCGTGTGAATTTTCTCATTTTAAGACTGTGAATTGATGTAACTGTTTTCGATGTGCTGAAGTTAAGTTAGTTCCTTTGGACCAAATTCTGTTTCTCTTATTCACATGTATAATCTTACTAAGATTAGACAAAAGAACTGCTTTTGTCAGTAAGGTAAGCAGAATTTTGTCTTTTCAACACAAGCTGTAGGGGGTAAAGAGACTGTAAGAAGCCAATTGAGAAAGACTTTAATATGTTTGACTTTATCACCGGCCAAAAAAAAAGAGGAGCATTTCAAATAAGTCACCACATGACGAATACAAGGCAAGCAAAAGTCAATGTGGGGCTGCAACAAATTTCTTTAGCTCATTTTATGTTTTCTTTTTATCGTTTCAATAGTTAAAGTAAAAATATAGGGGGAAGTTCTTTATGTTTAACTTTGGGGAAAGTGCACTATAAAATAGAGCCCCTACTGGTGTTCATTAGTTTTAACAAAGAGTCTGGTCATAGGTTAATACTGGTAGACGGTATTGTAGCCCACCACATGCTAACTGTCGTCACAGTGAAACTAGCGCAGAGAAGTCTCTGTCTAGAAGAATAAGAATTAAAAGAACAAAACAATGCTTTCATACTGCAATTATTTTGCAGAGAGAATAATATTGCATCCACATGTACTGTACAAAAGACTTTAATTTCCTAATCACAAAGCCACCAAAACACTTTGCAAAACAGTTTTTATTTCACAGAACATATTGCATGCAGGCTAGTATTAACTATGCCTTTGAAAAATTGGAAGAAATAGTATCTTCAAACTCAATGTAGAGCAAAATGAAAAGAAATATTTAGTTTGCTCCAGTGGTTTCTTAAAACTGTGCTTCCTATCTGAAAGGTCTAAGCCTTTTGGCATTCTAAGGGACTCGTACAGAATCACAAATGCGTTAAGTAAAGAATGTGTTGATTTGTAAAGTGTAATAATGATCCAGACCATCTCACTGACATGAGAAAAAAGTTACAGTAAATGAGGTAAAGAATGTGTCCTCATCAGTCCCTCCTGATTGAGATAAATCAGCCTAATTTTGTTGAAATCAATAGAGATCTGTCAATTTCCTCTCTTTTGGTCCTCCCTGATGTTAAATTTATGGAATTGTGCCATCGGTCCCTTAGGGGCTGGCAGGGCACGGGCTCTCTCAGGCCCCACCACAGGCTGACTTCTCATTTCTTCCGTGTGCCAAGATTGTTCACGATAGTGCCCCAATCACTGGTGACATACCATAGACATCTCAAGCCGTATTTTGAAGGCATGGATGTTGTTATTCAACCTCCATACCCTTCACGACTATGGTTTTATTTAAATCTGTGCTGCAGTTTCTGTCCTACCTTACATGAACAAGGGTGGAATTCCA